AAAGACCTGCCGGTAAACGCAAGAACAGGCTTGCAGAGTGTGTGGCCGACCCATCCCCATATTAGCGGTTGTCTGGTCCTGTCCAACAGCTGGTCATTGGAGACACTTCTGCGCCAAGTCTGTTTTGGTCGGCCCACTTTTCGCTTCCCTTGTGGATTCCATTTAAGAATCTGCCTGGTCACACAAGAAGGCGGAATTTGGATTTTGGTTTTTAATTTCACATATTCCTTCGAGAAATATACAAGTTGTTTCAAAATTTTTGAGACAAAGCAGCAGCCTCTCAGCTCTTCCCTGTTGATTATTGCTGGGAATCAAGTTTTATACTAACATAAAGTAGAACGATTATATGCCATCAACTGCTAGGTCTGGTGTCACAAAAATCATGTCATTGTTGCCACATCTGGTCTGATGTTTCGGCAATGTATTTAGAAATTCTTGATAAAATCTACAAAAGTGTCTGCAATATCATTTTTTTATATATTAATTATTGATTTTAATCATTATTAAATTTAACACAAATTACACATGATGGTCATGGATATCCCTGTTATATTATAATCGCTCAACTGTATTTTAAAACAACACTTGGTGCATCTGTAGTGTTATGTGTAGCATTTGTTATATTTGTTTCTCTGCCTTTTGATTTTTTGGGGAACATAGGGCCGCGGTAACACCTCTCCAACGGACGCGGTTTCGGGCGATTCTCTTCAGCTTGGCTCATGTTGTACCGGCTTTCTTGCAACTCTGTGTCAACATTTCTGCACCAAGTCTGTTTTAGTCGACCCACTTTTCGCTTCCCTTGTGGATTCCAGTCAAAAACCTGCCTGGTAACACAAGAATCAGGCTTGCGGAATGTGTGATCCATCCCCATTTCCGTTTCTTAATGTCAATCTCGATTGGGGCCTGTCTAGTCCGTTCCCACGTTTGGTCGTTGGAGCCCACTTCCGGTCACCTGATATTAACGATGTTCCTGAGACGTTGCTATCATTGCGGACAGACAACTTATTCTGTGTTAATGTTCTATGTTTTTTTTTTCTGATTCGACAAAAAAATTGTCTTTTATAAACGATGTTCTGCTGCCGAAGCCAGTATGAAATGTTTCCTTACAAGACAGCGGATAATAATGCAATTACAATTAGCATTCATCAAGTTCGAAAATTTAATATTTATATGTCCAGCCGGGATCCATAAATGGTTATGGGCATTATCTTCCCATTACCCGCGAGCAGGGTGCGGGTCCAAATTGAAAATTATTCAGTCAAGCTTGATGGATTTCCTGCAGTATCTAAATTCATTTCAACTGAAGGGCATTTCAAATTGATCCCTTTATTTTCTGGGGTTTTCAAGTTGTGGCCTTTACCTTCAAATTTAGCTGTTTATATTCCGGGTATTTCAAATTGAGTCTTTCACTTTCTGGGATTTCAAATTGAGCCCTTTTTGGGGAGATTTCAAATTGAATCCTTTATTTTCTGGAGATTTCAACTAGAGTCTTTTATATTCCGGGGATTTCAAACTGAGTCCTTTATTTTTAGGGCATTTCAATTTGCGCCCTTTATTTTCGGGTATTTCAAACTGAGTCCTTTGTTTTCCGAGGAATTCAAATTGAACCCTTCATTTTGTTTGGATTTTAAATTGAGCCCTTTAGTTTCTGGGATATTCAAATTGTGTCCTTTATTTTCCTTTGATTTTAAATTGAGCTCAAGCCCTTTGTTTTTCGAGGAATTCAAATTGAGCCATTTATTTTCCGGGAATTTCATCTTTACAATTTCGCTTTCTCGACTTCGCTCCGAAAAAAGAAAATAACAAAATAAGACACAAAATCATATTTGAACTACTAGGGAAACTTTATTGATTCAACAAAGGTCGTTTAATTTGTAACGTATATAAACAGCTTTCAACAACGCGACGTCGCCTCTCTTCTTTTCTACAAATACTTCCATGGTAATTGCTCCGATGAGCTGCTTTCACTTGTTCCCAGACTCCATGAATCCAAACGCCCTACGAGGCTGGCATCCTGCTCCCACCCCTTACACTGTAGAAACTTTTAAATGTAGCCGTCTCTCCAATTACCAACCTCTCTCCTGTGGAACACCTTCCCTATTACTGTTTCCCTGAGAGCTATAATCTTTAACTATTCAAATCAGGTCAATCGACACTTCCAGTTATTTGGCTATCCTTCTCCTCAATCTCTCCTATCTGCTCTCGCCCAAATCTTCTGCAACCCCCTGCATCTCCAACGACCAATATAAGTGAAAAAAAGCCAATATTTATAACCTAGAAAGGGTCACAAAGTAAAAACCCGGGAATTCCAATCAGGCTGATGATTTCGGAGACAGTTTGAATAGACAAGCCATCAATTTGCTACGGTGTAACATTTTGTCTAAATCGTGTAAACAGCATGGGATAATTGCCCATCTCAAATAATGTTTAATATTAATTCCATTAATCTAATTGAGTTCCATGTTTTCAGATAAGACGTTTAGCCATCTTGGCACCATTTGTCGGAAGAATCACAAAAAAAAAAAAACTTTGAGTTATTCAGCTAGAAAGAGAACAGGTTAAAATCATCTTGTTTCAGCTCCACTATGCAATGGTGAGAGGAAAAATATCAAAAGCTTAAAAGAAATACTCTGGCTTCCATCTGAAAAGTCCATTCAAGAACTATCATGAGAACGGTGAAGTGGTTTTAAAAAGAGGGAACAGTAGAGTGGAAAACTAGATCAGGAGGTCATAGCATGAAGAGGGTCCATCATTTCAACTTAGAGCTAAAGAGATTAATTAGAAAAGATCCAACACAATCACAAGACGTTTGATACGGGAGAGAGAAGTTTCAGCTATGACAGCCTTAAGACCAGGGGAAAATACTTGAAAATGAAATCGTACGTGAAACCTGTGAGGAGCCTTATTACTTAGAAGGTTAGACGGCGAAGATCATCTTAAATACCTTGGAACATGATTCTGGCGTAATATATATATATATATATATATATATATATATATATATATATAAAGAAATAATCATACATAAAATCAATCAGTAATATTAATGCGATTAATGGCGAAATCACTTCGCTAGTAGAACATAATGTTGTCAGATGTTTCTAGTGTATATTTTTTTGAGTTAAGCAAGTACTTTCGAAGATCCATGTCTCCATCATCAGGCTGTAATTTTTTCCTTTAAAGTTAAAACTTAAAGACGAAATAATTGTTTGTAGACCGAAAGATGTTTTTTTTTAAGAATGTGCTATTTATTGACGGTTGTACAATCTCGGAACGTGCGAGTCGCAACGCTAAAGTTCCAAATTTCAAGTGAGAATTTTTATATGAATTTTGTAATATGGTGAATCCACGAATTCTTTTTTTACAAATGTTTTTCATATTTATTTGAACTTTATTTCAGTCCTTCATGAGCTTCTGATCCTTAGCTATGATTAATTAATGATACATATGTCATATTCGTTTACGATCGATTTTCATTCTTTCTGTAAAGCTAAGAGACATTCTTATTGCTCAAAGTAGAGTCCAGTAGTGTTATAAAACCCTCTGCGAATTTCAGTAAGATATCTTTAATCATTTCCCAGTTACAACGTTTCAGATCTTAAGTTAAGAATTGGAGAATTTTTGCTGTTACACGATTTGGACAATTTCGCTGTTACACCGGGTATATTTACACCGGTGAAGACCCGCTGGCAGAGTGTGAATCTGTAATGGTGCAGGAGCTACCGAGCTCTCTACAGAGACTAAATTAACACTCCCCGAAATAAGGTCGACATGAAAGACCGCTATCCTGTTCAACAGCCATTTGTTAGAAAGCGAACAGTAAAAAAAAAAAAAATACTCGTTAATCAGACTTGACAACTCAATCAGAAAAAGGTGTTACGACTCATCAGCGATACACCGTGAAGATGGGACGTTGTGTAAGGTACCCGCTTCTGCAAAGAACTGCGGTTTTTTTTTGGCATACCCGATCGTTTAGTGATCGATAGTCAATATGTTTTCTTTTGCCTTTCTCACTTTTATCGTTCATCGTACTGTTAAATATAATGTAGTTGAAATACAATTCATGAATAAATTTTTTGTGCTTAGGTAAGTAAAGTTAAATAATAGATACAGACTATTATTTTTAGTGACAGTATATTTGGCTCTGACCTTTTGAGGCTGACCTTAAGGTCAGATGGTAGACAAAATAGGGATGTCGATTTTGAATGTGGGAATGTTAGAGTTAGAGAGTGTTTTCAAGGAGTTAAGTTTTATCCGTCGAAGAATGCAGACATGTCTTTTTTTCGTGGATGGTATTTACTCCCCAGTGGGGGTGACAGAGCGACCCCACTGATTAGTTACAAATGTACACGTCGATGTGTTTAATAAAATAGAAAATTTTGAAATCCCTTTTATTGAAGTTCTCATTTTTGCCTCGGAACAAACCAACAAGCGATCATCCAGCCGACAGAAGACGGTCGAGAGAGAAGAATGCAACTTCGGTGTAGAATCGACCCCGTCCACCACGTCCTCCCCCAGAAGAGAGGGAGCATGCAACAGTTCTTTTTAGAACCCGTTTTAGCCCCATCTAACGTTTCAAACGGTTCTTGTTTTCTTTCTTTCGTGTTACGGCCGGCTCACACTGAGATATCAATTTCCCTACAATCACATAAGTTAAGGAATATCTAGCCTGGTCAGTAACGAGATGAGTAACCGCTTGGGGATGTCAGGTGATGTATACTTCGATGCGGGCTGTATAGAAAGCTTATGGCCCCCATCACGTTGAAACATCGCTTCCCGTACGATCACCGAAGTTAAGCAATGTTGTGATTGGTCAGTGCCTATATGGGTGACCGCTGTGGATGTGCGGTTCATATAATGGATTTACAGCCATATGACGTTGAAACATCGGTTAACAATCACCTGAGTTAAGCAATGTCGACCCTGGTCATTAGCTAGATGAGTGACCGCATGGGAATGCTAGTTGCTGTAAAAATGGATGTGCGGTGATATAATGGGCGTACGGCCATATCATGTTGAAACACCGCTACCCGTACCTGAGTTAAGCAACGTCGAGCCTGGTCAGTACCTGGATGGAAGACCGCTTGGGAATGCCAAGTGGTGTAAGCTTGTATGCGCTGAGGGTATAAAGGTCTTACGGCCACACCTGGTTGAAACACTGCCTCTTGTACGATCACCAAAGTTAAGCAAAGCTGAGACTGCTAAAGTACTTACATGGGTGACATCTTAGCAATGCCAGGTGCTGTAATTGTGGATGTGCAGGTGGTGTAATGGATAATGTCTCGAGATTATTCATCTGAGAGCTGAGTTCCAATTCCGGTTGGGCTACTTGCATTCACTTACGCTGGGGAAGGTAGACTCCACCTCTTCTCCCCCATCTATGGTCTAATCAGTAAGACATGTATCACGAAAGCAATATTTTCTCGAAACATATTCTTTGAATCTGAAAATATTTTCTGGCTTAAAATAAGCTGCAAAGTGTTGATAAGCCGTAAAAAGGAAATCAACCTTTCTTTCTCTCGGGCTGTCTTTCTTTTTTTTATTTTTTTTTCTTTCTTTCTTTCTTTCTTACTTTCTTTGTTTCTCTTGAGTAGTTTCTATCCAATTTATTTGGTTCTGTTCACACTATTATTGGCTTTTTCTTGTTTTCCGGCATTTTTCATGCTTTCCTTCCTTTTTTCCTTTTTTCCTTCTTTCCTTCCTTCCTTCCTTCCTTCCTTACTTCTCCTTCTTCCCTCCCTCCCCTTCCTTCATTCTTTTCGCCCATCATTTTTTATTACCCTCGCTTGGTCCCTCCCCTCCTTCCTTCCCTCCTCCCTTCCTTCCTTCCTTCCTTCCTTCCTTCCTTCCTTCCTTCTTCCTTCCCCCGCTTCCTTCATTCTTTTCGCCCATCATTTTTTATTACCCTCGCTTGGTCCCTCCATCCCCCTCCTCCTTCCTTCCTTCCTTCCTTCCTTCCTTCCTTCTCCTTCTTCCCTCCCTCCCCCCTTCCTTCATTCTTTTCGCCCATCATTTTTTTCTTAACCTCGCTTGGTCCCTCCTCCTTCCTTTCTTCCTTCCTTCCTTCCTTCCTTCCTTCCTCTCCTTCTTCCCTCCCTCCCTTCCTTCATTCTTTTCGCCCATCATTTTTTCTTACACTGCTTGGTCCCTCCCTCCCTCCATCTTCCTTCCTTCCTTCTTTCCTTCCTTCTCCTTCCTTCTTCCCTCCCCTCCCTCCCTCCCCTTCCTTCATTTTTTTCGCCCATCATTTTTTTATTACCCTCGCTTGGTCCCTCCCTCCCCCTCCCTCCCTTCCTTCCTTCCTTCCTTCTTCCCTCCCTCCCCTTCCTTCATTCTTTTTCGCCCATCATTTTTTCTTAACCTCGCTTGGTCCCTCCCCTCCCTTCCTTCCTTCCTTCCTTCCTTCCTTCCTTCCTTCCATACATACATACATATATATATATATATATATATATATATATATATATATATATATATATATATATATATATATATATATATTTATGGTCGAATTTACTGTATTTGAACTTCAATCCTCTATGAATCTCTCACATATACATTCATATCTGCTCCATACTTCTAACTTTCCCGCCTAAACTCTAAAATTACTATTCATTTACTTTTTTCTTGTAACTCAATAAGTGGAGTGAGGTTTCATTATTGTCCGGTTTATAACCACCCCCCACTCAGTTTTGTGAAGATGAATAGAGGTTTATCCTTTTTTTCCTGTTTAAGATTGGAATTCGGGTCGTTTGTAAAGTCTTTTCTTTCGCTTACACTTCCAGTAGCCATCTTGCGTCTTAGTAGCATTGTCGCCTTTCTTGGGATGAATTGGTTAAGAAAAAAGCCTAAAAGGCAAAACAACGTAAAATAATCGTGGCATGTAATATATATATATTTATATATATATATATATATATATATATATATATATATATATATATATATATATATATAGATGAATCTTCAAAACAGTAGGTATGAGGAAAACTACATCCGCTTCCTGGGTAAGACGATAAACTACGTCTAGCTACAAGGCCTCTGATCAGGAGGCTTTGAAGAGCGTGGAACGACCTCTTAATTGCTGCTGTTCTCAGGTCCACCCTGACCCGGGGTGGTATCACCTGTCAGTGCCCCAGCTATGGGCAAATTGTTAACGCCCATTATAGGGTGAAAACACTATTGAAGTGGAAAAATAGGTTTTAATACCAGAAATAATTTATGCCAAAAAAAAAAAAATATATTACCAGCGATAGATTTTGGAAGAAATAATAGAGTATTACCAGAAATAAAAATTTGAGGTTGATATGTCATAAAACAAACGAAGCCAAAGCAGCAATACTTATTTGGAAAAATTATTATCAACAGTACATTTTTAAAAAGAAAAATATTACTAGCAATACATTTTTGAAGAAAAAAAATTACCTACGATACATTTTTTGAAAAGAAATATTACCAGCCATAAAAATCTTGTCAGCATTAAATAACCCATTGAGGTTGATATACCGTAAATCAAAATAAACTAAACCAATTTAAAAAAAAAGAATACATATTCTATTCATACGAATCTATCTAAAAATGTTGTCGGCATTAAATAACCCATTGAGGTTGATATGCCGTAAAACAAAATAAACCAAACCAATCTAAAAAAAGAATACATATTCTATTCATACGAATCTATCCTAAAAAATATTGTCGGCATTAAATAACACATTGAGGTTGATATGCCGTAAAACAAAATAAACCAAACCAAAAACCAAAGAATACATATTCTATTCATACGAATCTATCCTAAAAAAATTAAATAACCCCTTAAAACAAAATAAACCAAACCAATCTAAACCAAAGAATACATATTCTATTCATACGAACCTATCCTAAAAATGTTGTCGGCATTAAATAACCCATTGAGGTTGATATGCCTTAAAACAAAATAAACCAAACCAATCTAAACCAAAGAATACATATTCTATTCATACGAATCTATCCTAAAAATGTTGTCGGCATTAAATAACCCATTGAGGTTGATATGCCGTAAAACAAAATAAAACAAACCACTCTAAACCAAAGAATACATATTCTATTCATACGAATCTACTCTAAAAATGTTGTCGGCATTAAATAACTCATTGAGGTTGATATGCCGTAAACAAAATAATCCAAACCAATCTAAACCAAAGAATACATATTCTATTCATACGAATCTATCCTAAAAATGTTGTCGGCATTAAATAACCCATTGAGGTTGATATGCCGTAAAACAAAATAAACCAAACCAATCTAAACCAAAAACATATTCTAAGAATCTACTAAAAATATTCTATTAAATAACCCATTGAGGTTGATATGCCGTAAAACAAAAATAATCCAAACCAATCTAAACCAAAAGAATACATATTCTATTCATACGAATCTATCCTAAAAATGCTGTCGGCATTAAATAACCCATTGAGGTTGATATGCCGTAAAACAAAATAAACTAAACTAATCTAAACCAAAGAATACATATTCTATTCATACGAATCTATCCTAAATATCTTGTCGGCATTAAATAATCCATTGAGTTTGATATGCCGTAAAACAAACGAAACCAAAGCAAACCAATAAAAAAATAGATGAAGAATATATAAGGAAAAGTGAATTGGATATTAACAATTCATTGCCAAGTTTCAAACAAAAACAACAATCAAGATGAGGAGAGTCGAAAAGATTCATTAAACACTGTAAACTCATATCAAGTGGGAGCATCAATTAAGAAAAGCCTAACCAGAAAACGTCATTAAATATTAACAACAAATTTCGTAATCTCCGTCTAGAACAAAGGTCAGCAACTCCGCCCCCCCTCCCCGGGCTACATCCAGCCCGCGAAGGATTTCTGTCCGGCCAACCAACTTAACACCTGGATACTAATTATCGGGTTAATTTCTGGAGCAAGTGGCAGAAAAAAATCTGTTGGGGTTAATTGATTTACAACGCGACTAATGTTTTAAATCAAAATTTAATTCAGAATCCATTGCTGACTTTTACAAGAAATATGTTTTGACAATCGGAAAATAGAAAAGCTTATTAAATAATGTCAAAATGATGGTATCATTATTTGAAAGTTCATATGCTTGTGAACAGTGTTTTTTTCGAAAATGAAATATGCTAAAAGCTGTTTAAAAAAGAGATTGGATGATGACCACCAAGATGATGTTTTGGTTCTGTCATCGACAAATATTACACCTTATGTGGAGAGGTTTTCGAACTATAAACAGAAACAAATGTCTCATTAAATAATTTGCCATTTCTAAGTGTATTTCGTTTGTCGTAAGGAATTTGCATTTTTGGTTAATTGTGTTAATTGTTATCGTGTCGTAAAATAAGGAACCTTTTTTAAATAATATAGAATTAACTTTGTTGTTTTTTCTTTAAACTTCCAGATCAAGGCAGCCTTCTGGACAAAACAGTAGGAGATCAAGGCAATTTGTTTTAATACATTTGATAGCATGGCTCTCCTCCAAGACAATGCCTAGCTTTCTGGACCACCCTTTCTGGCCCACCCTCTCTCTTAGTATTCAAAGCCGAAGATTAAGGCCAATTGGCACCTGTGACGTCGTCCCCCGGTCGCAGCGCCGACTGTGACGTTCTATCCTGAACTACCACGGCGCCAGTTGTGACGTCCCTAAACAGCACCAGTTGTGACGTCTTCGCCGCGGCGTCAGCTGTTCTCTCCTCGCCGCTCCGCCCGGGTGTCGCTACTCCAAACGTGACGTTCTAACCCTTTGGTGATTCGGGTAGGAATCTGGTTAGATTGATACCAGCCTCGCCGTTCCCAACCTGCTTCCAACGCCTGGTTACCAGGGTAACTGCACTGATCTCCAGTCTGCCTACCCACGTTGTGAATTGATCTTAGACAGACGAGATCAACAGGGGTTGGAGTCGTAATGCAAGCTGAGTTCAACGGGGGTGATAACACACAAATATGTATAAAAGAAAATAAAATGAAAACTCACAAAGTTCAAAGTATCAAAGAAAAAGGTAACAAACTTTTTATGTCTATTTGTTCGGTACATAGGACTATGTCTACTTCCCGACCCGTTCTGTGGATTGTGGCACGACGCTTTC